CTCGGGGCCAAGAAGGCCAATGGGCTCCTGGCTGCATCAGGAGGAGCGTTGCCAGCAGGTTGAGGGAGGGGATCCTGCCACTCTCCTCAGCTCTGGTGAGGAGGCAGCACCTGGACTATTGGGTGCAGTTCCGGGCTCCTCAGTACGAGAAGGACATTGAGCTTCTAGGGAGGGTCCAGTGCAGAGCCACAAAGATAATTAAGGGACTGGAGTATTTGTCGTATGAGGAAAGACTAAGTGATCTGGGCCTGTTTAGTCTGGAGAAAAGAAGGCCGAGAGGAGATTTGATTAACATGTTGAAGTACCTGAGGGGTGATTGTAAGGAGGATGGGGCCAGGCCCTTCTCAGTGGTGGCCAGTGACAGGACTAGGGGTAACTGGCGTAAGTTGAAACCCAGGAAGTTCCACTTCCATATCAGGAAGAACTTCTTTCCTGTAAGGGTGACAGAGCCCTGCAACAGGCTGCCCAGAGAGGTTGCGGAGTCTCCTTCTCCGGAGATGTTCAAAATCCACCTGAATGCCACTCTGTGCCAAGTGCTCTTGGTGTTCCTGCTGGAGCAGGAGGATTGGACTAGGTGATCTCTAGAGGTGCCTTCCAACTATAAGCATTCTGGGATTCTGTAAATAAAAGAGTGAGAATCAATCAGTGGTAGCTTTCATGGAGATGAGGGCCAGAGCAGGGCCAGCTCCTCTGATCTGTATGAACCAAAATGCAGGATGCAGTGGAGCTGGGTTCCCATCAACATCACAGAATCACAGAACGCAGAATGATTGAGGTTGGAAGGGACTTTTGGAAATAATTTAGTCCTATTTGCCTGCTCAAGCAGGGTCACCTAGAGCTCATTACACAGCATTGCATCTAGACATGTTTGAGTATCTCCCCAGAAGAAGACTCCACAGCTTCTCAGCCTGTTCCCATGCGCTGCCACTCTTGCAGTAAATAATATTTTCTTCCTATTCCGGTGGAATTTCCTCCATTTTGTTTGTGGCCATTGCCTCTCGTCCTGTTGCTAAGCACCATTTTGAAACAAATGTGGCATTTTAATGTTATTTTAAGATTATAATTTTGTATCTTGTAAAAGAAAGGTCATCTTTTCCTTAAGAATGAATTTTGGGTCACAGGACAAGAGGTTACAGTATACTATGGGCTCACAAAAACTTCTTGGACTCTTTTGACTGGATTTAGGAAATGAAGGACATCAGTATTCTCGGACATCTCATCCAAGCCACTGTCACTCTACAATGTCTAGAGATGTATCTAAACTTGATGCTCACTGGAAGGGAGAGATTTATATCTTCTTTACAGCATGGGCTCCATTGCTGCAATTTTAAACTAGGAACCACCAAATATACTGTGTTGATTCAAAGGAATGAACACAGGTGAAGTCTAGCTAAAATCAACATATTTCTGACTCTGCCTAGAACTCCCAGTAAATGAGAAGCAGAGTAGTTGCTAAAGTTGCTTATGTATTCATGACCAGGAAAAGAAACAAACCAAGTACAGATTCAGGGGCAGAAATGGGCATTAAAATGTATCTACATGGAACAGTATTGTGAGAAGCCACATGTTACTTTCATCTGCCTGAGGCAGTTGAAAACACAGTATGGTTCTTGCTGAGGTGATGTGCTGAGATATCCAGTGCCCTGAAAGAACTTGCATGTGATGATTGTTTAAAACTGCATGCAGGATAGTCATGGTAAGTCCATTTCAAGTTACTCCAAAATAACATGCCTTTTACAACATGTCCCTGAAATATAGATAGGAACTACCCTGTTCTGCTGATTGATTCACATTGCACAACATTATTTGTTAATAAAGACATAGCCAGGGAAACTGCAGCAAGAAATATTCCAAGTTAGCAGTTCAATTTCTGATTTGACTACTTGGATGTCCTGTTTCACTCCTGGCATCCTAGAGCACTCCATTGGACCAGCATTCAACTCCCATTCCATAGATGGGAGTTTCTATTCTAGTCTCATTTGTCAGTTCCATTCTATTCACATTAGCCAGTTCCCCTGTCCCATTATGGGTATGCAGTATCATTAAAGGAGGCCTAACACGTTCCCAAACACTGGCAT